AAAAGACACCCCCTAATTTGGTGTTGACCTTGGCTTGTTTAGCATTCGGGCTGAGGCTGGTGGTGACAGTGACACGTGTCTGGGATGGGGAAGTCCTGGGGGTCTTCGGGGTGAGGGGGTCTTAGGGGGAGAAGGGTGAGGTTGGTGGGTGAGGAAGGAGGTGGGAGGTGGTTGTGGATGTGCAGATGGACAGACCGTTATAAAACATAAGACAATATTCCCAAAAGAGAATTCAGGGTCAAAGATCACAGCCCCCACTGTCTAAACTGAGAACTCAACCAAGACTAAACCATGCAGGATGGACCCAGGATTTGTCAAGGATTTAACCAGATCTAAATCAGGACTAAATAAAGTAAAAGACAAGACCAAATCAGGAATAACAGGACTAAACCAGGACTACCTAGGGGTGGACAATATAGACAAAAATGTATTATCAATATATTTCTTTTGGTTTCCTGATAACAATAATCAAATGTCAATCCAACAGAAAGGCATTAAAACTTAATGGCTGAGGTTTAGGTATCAGGAAATGTGAAATGATGTGAATTTTGCTCACAAGTTCAAAAACACCCCTTTATAACCTTTAAAATTGATCTACATTATTCTTTACTTTTTCATTTTAATCAACTCTTTTTGCAGCATATTTTACAAAAAAATGCAAAAAAAAAAAAAAAAAATGATATAGTCAATAATCAAAAACTGCATATCTTCAAATCAACATTCACAATATTATAATTTTTCAGTAATCTGCCCCCCTCAAACTATACCAGAACAAAATGAGGACTAATCTAGGACTGTCTCATGACTAAACCAAGTCTAAACAAAGACTACCCCAGAACTGACCTGCTTTATCAGTTCTAAACAACAGCTAATCTTGTCTTAATAGGACTAAATCAGCACTAATGAAGAACTAAACCAGGACTAAACCAGGACCAAGGTAAAACTAAATACTATGAAATCAGGTTTAAACATTTGTATATAGGTCTAACCAAAAACTCCCTTTAGTTTAATACAGCACAACCAACATCCAAGCTCCCACTAGCCCTCTTCTCTGTCTCATTGTTATTGGGCACCTTATGCAGTTTATAAAATTAAATCCTTGACTAGCAGGTTGTGGGTGGGTCTTTGGGGTTGTTTATTTGCATATATTTAATGTGGTCCAAAGCCAAGCCGTTTAAATAGAGCACAATGTAACCATGCAGCTGGCACGTGCTTCACTGGAGGGAGAGGAGAGGGGCCTTTTAATTAAGGGATTTGTTAATTTTCTATTCAACCTGACTTTGATGAATGGGCACTGAAGAGACTGGAGGACTAGAGGAGGTCTTCAGGCGGTGGCTATATTTACACATGAAGGTTTAACCCTTTCAGTGTTTACAAAAGCTGTGGAAAACAATGAAGCAAGACGAAGGGAAAAGACAAGACGGCCATAAGGAAGTGATGTGGACTTTGTTTTAAAGGTCCTATATTCCACAAAATTCACTGTTGTAAGCCATGTTATAATGTTACAGTATCAAAAAACATACCTGGAGTTGTGTTTCATTTCATTCACACATGCTTGTGTAATCCAGGTTTATTAGTCTGTCCACATCTTCAAAGCTCAAAATGCTCATTCAGAACAGAGTGGAAGAGAATGTTTCCTGTTTGAAAGAACTCAACCTAAATATGCAGGATTTGTGTGTAAAACACGTGTGAATGAAACATAAAACAAGTCCAGGTATGTTTTTGATGAGGAAACAACATTATAACATACATCAGAAAATAGCATAATATGGGCCCTTCAAGTTTATATTATGAATAAGAATAAGTTAAACTGTATTTAAAAGAGGCGAGGGGAAGGAGTATAGAATAGATGACCTGGTAACTAAATGATTTATTTTTATAAGTGATAAGTACTTTTTTGCTACTTGCTTTTTTTCATAATTTACCAACAGGAAATTGTGGGTCAATTCAGTCTGAAAAAGGGTCTCTACCACAAAAGCATCTCTACTGCCAAATGGCCAAATGAACCTGGATCCTTTCCCTGTAATCAATAATGAGGCGGCCATCTTGAATTAAGCATCTAACAAGAAGTCACGATGAACAGGTTAAAGTTGTTTTACCAGAATCACAATGCGATTTTAAATACTTTTAAAATGGTAAGTATTTGGTTTGACAGGACTGAACCAGGTCTGAACCAAGTTTAATAAACCAAGGCAAAGTACTAATATAGAACTAAACAAGCTAAACCCAGGTCTAACCTAGGTTTAACCAGGTTCATCCTGAATAACAGGCTCAGCAACATAAATCGAGTGCAATTTTACATTTCTAATTCAAAGCTCTGTGTGTAACTACAGGAGTCTGCTACCTGCTTTCTGTGGAGATGTTATTACTTTGTCGCTAATATTTCACAGTATGGCATTAAATGCATCTATGAGACATCTATGAAGACAATCAGGTGACGCCACCTTGCCTAGTTACAGGTCAGACGTTTTTTTGACATATTTTTGAGCAGTAAAACGCTTGCAAATGGACAAAATGCAAGATAGAGAAGTTCAAGAAGATGCAATAGCAGTAGTACCTTTAAATGTGTATGTGCCAAAAATCCAAGGCATAACTGACTACAATACAAAGACTCCATCAATTCTCAACCAAATCAAACTAAACCAGGATTAACCCTGAATTAAACCAGAACTAAACAAGGACTAAACCAGTTCTATGCACAGACTAAACCAAGGTGTATTATGCCTTAAAATGATTTTTGTGTACTTGAAAGCAGCTCCTCCATGTGTCATACTGGCTTCAGCTCAATTTATCTGTTGTGAAGTGGCACACATTCATCTCGTAAATGCTCTCCCATGATTTCCTTTGTGTATGCAGAGACGGGGGTCACCTTGAGAGGCCTGTGTGTGGCGAATAGATAATGTATTCCTTCATACAAAACAATGTCTCGCTAACATGCTTTCTTCTACACCTGAGGAACTTTACAGCAGAAGACAGAGTGATTTCTGTCCTGGTTTTGAGATGTCTTAGAAAACAGTACAATTACAGTAAAGGTTTCAGTGTGAATTTAAGAGGTGGGTTTTCTACATCTAAAGGAAGTGCAATCATTATAGTGGCTGTGACTGATAGACCGAGTAGACTAGCATAGTAAAATAGTGTATAGTCTTTGTGACAGTCCCAAGCCTGTGTAGAGTAAGAGGTCTGTCAGGAAGGACATCTGACATGATCCTACTCAATACTGGACTCTTAAATACAATGTTTGTAATGAAGTATGCTCTCAAATAATGGATTATAAGTACAATAAGGTATTTTTAATTATCATATCATTGTCTAAAAAAACTCTAAATAAAATAAATTATCAGGGCTGGAATGTTCAAGCTAATATAGAGAAAATACTGCAAAATTATTTCAGTCTCATTTTTATTTGAAGGCTAAATATTGCATGATACTATTATTAAAGGAATTTCATACCAGCTATAAATATTTCTCCTAACACCTCTTTGATATTTATTGGATTTAATGAGAAAAACATCTAAACTAGTTCAGATATAATAAAATAGACCAAATTCATGAATAATGTGTAAAGTGTGTGTTGGATAACCTGCACTATAGGCTGAAATTCAAAACATGCACAAATTATGCATCTTCAAAGACAGCTCCTAATGATTTCAAATTAACTTAAACAGTAACCCAGTCTGTAACTACCTTTTGTCTAGTCTGCCTCACCAGATATGAATTGACACGCAGCGTTTTGATGCATATTAATGTTCTTAAATGGGCCGTTGAGGGAGGGGGTGCGGGGGAAGAAGGGGGGGAGGGGCTATACGGGGGATCACAAAGCCACAGCCGGGACTCCTGGGAGCTGGGGAACAGGTGCAGGACTCACTCTGGTTCAAGGCAATAGGACTGGTTTATGATGTGGGACAATCAATGGGGCAGTTTGAGTCTAATTCAGGAGAGCTCATTTGGTGGTTACGCTGCTTCATGGCTCATACACCTTTTGTTACAAGAAAAAAAACACTGTTCATTTAAGTATAATAAAAAATACTTAGAATGTATATATACAATAGGAAAATGCAAAACTGTTTTATGTTAAATGTACCATCTTTGTGTTAGACCCAGCAGCAGGATAGCAGCTTAACAAATGTGCCTATCCAAGAACATCAATGGTAATTTTATTTAAAAGTACACTGTGTAACTTTTCTTTTCTCATATTTCTTTATGAGATGCTATTGCTTTGTCTGGAATGTTTCACAGTATTAAACCTTTCTATCTTCATGGAGACCAAACCACACCAGGTTACATGTCAGATCTGTGGAGAGGCAACCCCGCTCACAGTCAGAGCGCCTGTTTCTTTAGGTATTTTTGTAATTTAATAAATAGAGCTGTTTAATGTCATAGTGTGGAACAATCCAGGCAGAACAATGACATATCCATAGAAACCAGCAGGTGACAGACCCCCAACCAAAAAGTTACATAGTACATCTTTAATACAATAGGTCTATACCAAAAAAAAACGTATTGTCCAACAAACTTAGGCCTATTTCCACGTAATGACCTCACAATAGCAACAAAATGCAGCTTTATGTGATGTTTTCAAATGCACAATTGTATACTAACAAGCAAGCTTAAAGGTGCACTGTGTAACTTTTCTGAGTGAGGGTCTGCTACCTGCTCGTCTCTATAGCAATATTACCGTTTTTCCTCACAAAGGAGACAAGTCACTGATATGTTTTTCAATGTATTTTTGAGCTATAAAACACATGTATTTGAATTAAGTGCAAGGCAGATATGTTTAATGCGCTACTGTGGAACATTTCATGGAGACAAGCAAATAGCAGACTTTCCACCTTAGAAGTTGCGTAGTACACCTTTAAGACAACCCACAAATCTAAGGGCGTTTCTGTGTCAATGACATCCACACAATTCTGAGGAAATTCACTTCAAACTAAAATAAACCGAACTAAAACGAAACAAATATATCACCGAAGAGTGTGTGTTGCCCCTGACAACATTGCAGATTCAAATCCAGAAAAACACGGTCCTTAGAGGTGAAAGACAGCGCGAGTCTCAAAGGCACCTGGATAAATATTTCTGTGTAACGCGTAACGATTGTATGGCGCAGATTAAAGTCATTTTCTCTAAGGGCGAATGATTTTCCCGGCTCAATAACCCGCAGAGCTGCACCTCTCTCTCTCTCTCTCTCACTCACTCACTCTCTCTCTCTCTCTCTGTGGTCCCTCCTTTGAGACCAGCGCACAATCAACTTGAACCAGACCACGCCCCCCTCTTTATTCTGGGAGAACTTATCTGCGTCTACGTGTTGATGTCCTGCACACTGAAGTCGAGCTCAGACCGGAGTAAGCATCGCAATAACTTCTACCCATGCTGAACAATATTGCATCTGGCGCGCGTATTGTTTTGTTGACAAGATGGATTTGTTAGACCGTGGATACTTGGACTCTCCGTACAACTACACCTTCAATTTCTGGAACGATTATCTTGGTTTGTCGACCCTCGTTGCCAAAAACAAGCCAACAAGTCCAAACTCTATCACGGAGTCTCTAAAAGCTACGTTGGGTTTGGATGATGAGTCGCCAATGTGCCCGTGCGTAACTGGGCACGGCCGGGACAGCGATGGCCACGCTGAATGCTGCTGCGCGCCTCCAAGCTCCCCTCCGCTTTCTATCTACGACCTAAAAGAAACTCTCCTCCGGCCCTACGAGCACGACTCCCCGCTGTCAGACCAAGATTGTCCCGGTTACAGAGGCAGCTTCACCGGGTTGGATCTCTTCTCTAGGCGCAAGCACTTCCAAAGGTGCAAACCAGAGCCCAAAGTGTGCGTGTTTTGTCGGAATAATGGCGCACCGGAGGAGGTCTACGGCACTCACATCTTGAAGACGGTGGACGGGAGAGTGCTGTGCCCCATCCTGCGCGCGTACACCTGCCCTCTCTGCAGCGCCAACGGGGACAATGCGCATACAATTAAGTACTGCCCACTGTCCAGGGACCAGCAGAACCACCGAGGCGCGCCCAAGACTGGCAGAGCTATCGGCAAGAGACTTAAAATCTTCTAAAGTTCAACTGATAAACACACTGTGCGAAGTTTCTGAGCCTCATTTGATGCTCAAGCCGGTCTTCTTACATCAGTGACGACTAAAAACGTAATATAAAGACGTTTTGCCATTTCCAAATATATATTTTTTGCAACGATAGTGTCATTTTTAGCTTACAAAAATAACACCTTTATACATGAATGTGAAGTTGACAGTCTAACTATAAGGCCACCAAGGAAACTATTATTCCCTAAACTTCATTGGAGATGTAATTTAAAAATCTTAAATATTAGAGGCTATAATACTTACACGTTGTTTACATTAATGTATAAAATGCTGATATGGACCATGTTTTGCTTGAGATTTCTTCATAAGCCTATAACAGCACATGAGAGAAAATAAGCTACATAGTTTTAGCACACACTTGATGAGAATTAAGTTGAATTCCCCCCCAATAGCACTCAAAATGTATAAATGAACCAAAGTACTGTTTACGAGTCGACGTGTGAATGCCCACTTTCAAGCTGTACCCAGAAGTATCCGTGTTGTGCCAGTGCAAACAGTTCTGCGCATGTCAGCAGCTCGCGCAACCTTTTAGTGCGATGCCAACGTAAATGAATATGCAGCGCTTCTAATACCGTGAATGTTTTTTAAACCAAGATGTCCGCCTATTTGAATTAATATAAATAGTTAAATTGAGCACATGTTTTTCAAAGATTGGGTTTTTCTACCAAAGCTATTCACTTTTTGAATGGAGATTTGCCCTGTATTGTTTGTATTGGATGTCTTTTAGTCCTATGTGATCAATGTGAATATGCCTACTTTACAAATGAACTGAATGTACAAAACAACGCTTTCTTCTGCAATTTTTGTATCATATGTAACTGTGTGAAGATTTTAGCAATGAGAACTGGATATATGTACTTATTTTTTACCTTATTGTATCAAATATATTCACTGTAAAATTGAATAAACAAACTTGCTTTTGCTTACACGTGACTGGAGATCATTTAAATAACATGGTCTTGATATAAATTAACCTGTAACAAAGTTGAGGTGCTATATAGAGAAACAAAGCTGCCCCCACCTGGTAAAATAGAAGAATTACAAAACAGGAGAGGCCTAACCCTGAAAGTTTGACAAGGGCTTTATCTTGATATGTCTGCTATGTCTACTCTGCAGTACAGAATTGCAGTATTAGGGATCAAGTCAATAAAAATTTAATATTCATGAACAGGGGTGTTCAAATAGTTTTCACCAAGAGTCACATATTGGAACATTTATAGTGAAGGTGTTACAGTGACAGAAATAGTTGAATTTGTAGTAAAAAAAGAATGCTTCTAATCATTTGCACCAATTCAACAGAAGGCCTGAGAGCCAAAAATAATTTGGCCCCCAGATCACAGATTGGATAAGAATGGAAAAGAATGAAAACATAACTAAAGATCTCTACAGTTATTGAGGGTAGTTGGTTAAAGAGAAAAGAGAAAAGTTAGTTTAAGTACAAGGCTACAGAAAAGATACAGTAAGTATATATTTAAAAACATAAATAAATAAATATATAAATATATATATATATATACATATACATAAATAAATATATATATATGTAAAGACTATTTTGTTGACGTTATTGCCTATACAGTTGATTTAATCCTTCCTCTTATCTCCTGTTAGATGTGTTTTATATATATATATATATATATATATATATATATATATATATATATATATATATATATATATATATATATATATATATATATATATATATATATATATATATATATATATATATATATATATATATATATATATATATATATATATATATATATATATATATATATATATAGTTGTAATAAATAAATAAATAATTATTGGAATAGTACTTTACAGATTTACAGAATACAAACATACAAAATACTACCCATATTGCATATGTAAGAATATGCTTTAGTATTTTTCTTTGTTTCTTCTACCTTGTGAGTGGCTGCATTGTCCAGGATGTACTCGAGCAAAGGTAGAAGTTGGGACAGCCATCTTGCTTCTGTGGCACCTAAAGAGACAAAACAAAATGCAGTAAATAAATAATAACACGGTCTTGTTTGATCCTTGTGATTAATGGCCAATATCTAAAGCATGAAAACAATTTTATTATTATTATTTTTTATCTTATTTAATTGAATAACATTTTGTTCTTGTTTTGAAAAATGTTAAAATCAATCTAAAAAAATAAACAGAGTTCAAAACGTTCAAATGACTGAAACCCAGATGTCTATATTGGTCTATATTGACATCTGCTGGCTCTCTAGCTGAACTGCAACATATAGATTTTATGTATTTGCCTTAATCATTTGAGACTACTATAGTCATGGACTGGATGATTTCAGAGGGACTGAAATTAAGATTGGGTTGTTGTTCATTTGGGAAAACTGCTTTATGGTGGTTAAAAACCTTCAGTAAAATATATAGACAACGTAATTCCTTCTTTGCAGATCACATTTCGTTTGAGGCATGGATAGCACGATCAGCAAAGACTCATTGGATTCACATTAGAGCCTGATTAACAGGCAATCAATATTTGATTTTGTGAGCGATCGAACTTGACTTCAATAAAAGCAATGAAAACAAAGCCATTATAATTACCCACTAACATGAAAAATGAAATAATAATAATACAATGAATGAGCAGTAATTAATTGGAATGTTTTGTTGGGGTCTGCTGACACACGTTTTATTAACAGGCTCGGACTTTTAATTGGTAGTTTTATTCCTGAATTAATTCAGAATCTCCCTAAAAGAAAATCTATGTACATATCAATAATAATATATTATAAGCAAATTTACATTGGCCATTTCAACTTCCCCAAACATCACAAGACTATAGCTCAGCTGGTAGAATGTTTGTTTACCGATCCAAAGGTTGGCAATTCAAATCATGCTCTCAATATGAACATCATTGGCTAAAAAAACAAAAAACGCACTAAAGCACTAAATAAAATGTGACCATTTACCATGATTTTTTGTTTTTGTCACGTGTACACCTGTGGTAACTCCAATCAATCACACAGGAGTAAGAATAGGGCTGCAATTTGAGTTGGTCCAATTATCTAATCACAAAGTCTACTATTACTTACATAATATAATGTCCTCTCTAATTAACAAAATATCCTGCCCTTTTATAGAAAAATCTTGTACCTGTAGTTTTGACTTGTACAAACATGTTCTTAAATGCACAGGATTCTTGTATTACTTCATCAGTTCATTTTTCAATTTTCTTCAATTGTTGATGCTTCTAGAGTATATTACACAAAAAATGACTATTGAGAGTTGTTAGTCATGTCATAGAAGATTAAACATACCTTGTTGTTGTGTTTTGTTTTGGAGGCCTGTGGAATTTAAAAACACAGTGGAGCACTTCCTGTATTATCACATGACATCGGGAACATAGTATTTTCTGTTTGAGAGAAGAACAGCCTAAATATGCAGGATTTGTTTGTGACTGAAACAACACAACTCCAGGTATGTTTTTGATTAGGAAACATTATAACATAGATCCGAAAATAGCGATCATAATACTAAAATCAAATAAAAATCACTATACATTTTTTTCATGCAGCTATACAAAAGGAACAGATTTTTACACAGGCAATGTCGGTGAAGTGTTTTGCCCATTGATACAACAACAGTACACACTGGTTGGAGCTGAAATTGAACCAGCAATCTCCAGGTTTGTAGATGAATCCTCTGCCATAGAGCTACGACTGCTCTAAAGGTATGATGTCATCTGTAAAGCTGCAGTTAAGTCTACACAGTCGATAAAATACAACCAGGTCTATGCAGTCTCGCCTCTGTAAAGCGATCACTATAAGGTCATATCGATCCAGCAACATTGAGTGTTCGGAGTTTGTCATTAGCCCAGTTGTGGAGATGATTTAGTGTATTTCTCTCTTGGTCCAGGCAGCTCTGAAGTGTCCTCACTGCAGCGCGCTCTGATTGGCCGAGACCATGCTGACAGCGGAGAAGTGTCAGTGAGAGGAGGGAGGGGGCGCTCTCTCCCTATATAAGCCCAGGATCTGCAGCATCACTGAGCTGGTGCAGTGCAAAACGCTCACTCATCCTCTCTTCCCATGGTGTGCAGAACAAGGGGGACAAAAAAATCCAAAATCCTGAAACTTTAACCTTCATTTAAAACAACATACACAGAAGTCATCATGAGCTACGATCCTTTTCTCTCTTATCGTGGATCAAGGGACATCTCCATAGGGTCCCGAACCAAGACCCCCTATTTCACCTCCTCTCCTCGTGTTACCCCATCTGGAAAGAGGATACTCAGGCTGAGCTCCTCTCCTCTACCCTCCTCTCTTCAAGATGGCCCGCGGATGGATTTAACTCAAGTAAGCTCCATGAATTCGGAGCTGCTGGAGGTAAGGACCCAAGAGCGGGAACAGCTAGTGGGGTTGAATGACCGCTTCGCCACCTATATCGAAAAGGTCAGGTTCCTGGAGCAGCAGAACAAGGCTCTCCTGTCTGAACTGGAGGTGCTGAGGGCACGACAGAGTAACCCGTCCCGTCTCCAGACCATATTCGAGGGGGAGGCCCGAAACCTGAGGGCCATGATTGAGTCAGAGAATGGGGAGAAGATGCGGATGGAGGCGGACCGGGACTATCTGCGCGATGTGTATGAACAGATGAAGGAGAGGTTTGAAGAGGAGGCGCGGAGGAGACAGGGGGCAGAGGAGGAGCTGCAGAGGGCCAGAGAGGAGGCCACAAGGTAAGGAGGGTCAAGAGAAGAATTTTGATTTTTAGTCAAGGGTCCACAACCTTCTTGTCTCGATGAAGATGCTAATAGGCATAGCCAAAACTTCACCGTATGGCATTAAACTGTAAGTTATTTTGTTTAACACCTGTAATTGAATAAACACTAGAAACATGATGAGCACTCCACAAGAAAATTTACATAATGCAGCTTTAATAGTGCTGATCTGTTAATATTATTCCCATTGAGGCAAGAGGCACTATTTCTGTATCAATCTTATGGTAATGTAATAATAGAGGACATATTTCTCTATGAGGACATAAATGGGTTTCAAAGCATAGTTCCCATTAGTATTAACAATTCAAAACAAAACATAATTTTATGAAAGGCGAAAAGTATTCAAAATGTCACCTATAACAGGAACTGAAACACATGAATAAAGTGTACCTTACTCCTGTGTCCTCCTCCAGGGCCCTGCTGTCCAACTGGGACGCCCAGGCCACAGTGGGGTCCCTGTGTGACGAGCTGCTGTTCCTGAAGAAGGTGTACACAGAGGAGCAGGCAGAGCTGCAGTCCCAGCTGCAAGTGGCTAGCATCAGTGTGGAGGTAGAAGTGTCCCGACCTGACCTCTCCACCGCTCTACGGGACATCAGGGGACAGTACGAGCGCCTGGCCCACAGGAACATGCAGGTACACAATAGCGTTAGTATTATTGTTTTAAAGGTAAGCAAAAATAAAATAGAGGACTGCATTTTTATGAGGTCTCTGTTTTAGTATGCCTCTGTGTAGTGAGTGATTTTATGTGCTCTTGTGTTCAAATTACCCTCAGAATGTCATTTTTATTAAAGGTGCACTGTGTAACCTTTCTGCTGGAGGGTTTGCTGCCTGCCTGTCTCTATGGAGATGTGCCTAGAGTGTTCCACAGTATGGCTATAAACTTATGAATCTCCATGGAGCCATGGAGCTAGCCAAATTCTGTAATTTGACTTGGTTAGATTTGTGGAGAGGCAACCCTACTCACAGTAAGAATGGATGGAAATGGATGGAATCCATGGAAACAAACAGATTGCGGTTACATAGTGTACCTTTAAATATCAAGTATACTGTCAAAACGCTGTAAAAAGAGTTGATAAAATATCATATAACAAAAACATTCAGTGTAATCCAAACATGGGTGATCGGAGAAAATTGTTATAATAAAATTTTTGGTTATCAAATCTGCACAAAAAACTAATAATGTATGGAAGAGATGGGCAGAAGATTTCAGCACTTTAATGTTCAGTCTATTCACTTTTTGTGCTTACATGAACCTCAGTCAAAGACATTTACAGGCACATTTTTGCATATTTCTGATGGTAAAAATGATTGTTGTTATGAGGAAAGATATCAAGAAAAGTTTTGAATAAAGAATTTCTCTCTACATACAGGCAGCAGAGGAATGGTACAAGAACAAGTTTGCGAGTGTAGCGGAAATGGCGAGTAAGAACAATGAGGCTGTGCGGGCGATCAGGGAGGAGACTATGGAGTACCGGCGCTTGCTGCAGACGCGCTCATCCGAAATCGAAGGTCTGAGAAACGTCATCGAGTCCCTTACCAAACAACTGCAAGAACTAGAGCACACGCAGGCCAAGGAGGTGGCACGGTACCAGGCCAGTATCAAACACTACAAACTCATACTGGTTATGACCAATACAAGAATTTTAACTTGATCTAGGACTGTATAGTTTTAGCTAGTTCATTTTAAAAGAGATTCAGTCATCTCCATTTGTCAATGTTCAGCTTGGTTGTTTTGAGAGTTCTACAGCAAAAAGTTCAGAGAAATTGTTGTTGTTGTTTTTTTTAATGGAAATATTTCTAAAACATAAGACTGAAATGTAACAGTATCTTTCCTGAACTGAAAAAGAGAATGATCATGGTCTGTGCATTTCCATTTGTACCATACATGTAACAAAATGTTAACTGCTTTAATGTTAAGACATTTTAAATTACAACATTAAGGCCAGTTCATACTTAATAAAAAGTAAGAAGTTCACCTGGAGCTGTAAGGACAAGATGACATCACTTTGTTCTCTCAGTTTGGCCCTGATACATTGTCCGAGCAGAACTTTGTTCTTATGGGCTGCCAGACACCTACGCTGTGATTGGTTGGATTTTCACAGTGGGTGCAGGTCTATTGAACAGCGCTTGTTTATAGTGAAGTTGTAACAAAAGCAGTGCACACCACAATCTTCAGGTAAAAATAGCCTCTGCTCTTAAAAGCCTTGACAGAAAGAAAATAGAAAAAGCAGAGAAGCAGAAAAAGCAGGGCCATAAATATCAGTTGGTGCAGCTCCTTCAGAAGCTGTAGAGCTCAGCAGACTTTGGCCTCAGTCAGAGGAAACTGCAACGTTATGCCAAAACGCACATCTCTCACACACCAATGAGCAAAGTCTATTCTCAAACTATGGCCCAGTGTATGTCATCATACTGCATTACCTTAAATTAGGGTAGATTAGATACATAGAGATTAATTATTCACTTTTGTGCCAGAAGAGCAGATACATATGAAAAAGTATATTTAAAAGCTTGATATGTATGTTGAAAAGGATTTTACTTTTTCAAATGATTGTTTTTTTTGTTTTGTTTTCTTTTCACAAATTTCATACAGTGCTCATTACGCATACACATAGATATAAATTTTTATACTAATAGCTTTATTTAATGCATTATCTTTTAGGTCTGCAATAAAGTTAGCCCATTTTTTTCTGTTTCCATTTCTTTTTGATAGCATTATTTCATATGCAGTTATTTTAAGAAAAGAATATAGCCATTAATTAAAGGATGGCATGTCAGGGCTTTTTCAGTGCTTTAGGTCCAGACTTAATACTGACACAATTCTTAGGCACACAATTTTAAATGTCACCTTGTTTGACCCTTCAGCTATGCTTTCATCACATAACAAAGCCAACCTTGGGGATCTTGGCAATGTAGTTTAGAGACCTTTTTCAGGAAACATGCATTGTAATAGAAGCGTGTAGTTGCAGTAGAGACAATTTTTTATTTCCTTTTCTCTCTGACTATAAGCTAGACAAGTTAAATATGCTCCTTTAGATTTTTTTTTGTGACCCACAGATGAGAATATGTCACCTGGAGAGTGACATCACTGAGGCCAAACAGGAAATGGCTCGATACCTGAAAGATTATCAAGACCTGCTGAACGTGAAGATGGCGCTGGACATTGAAATCGCAGCGTACAGGTAATGACTAAAAAACAAATATAAAAAATATTCATCTTTTTGCAAGTATCAGATAATGAAGATGTACTGAAATGCTCATGAATAATTTGTTAACCAATTTATTGTCAAGATAGGCTTAATCTTAAGTCATTATTATTATATTATTAAGTAAATATATTTAGTCTTTGAGGTTATGGTTTGCAAATATTACTGATTTATAAAATGGAAAGTTAATTGGTCAACAACAACAACAACAAGTGTAATCAACAATTATTGTTCACCTGTTAATTAATTGAAAGAGTCAGAGTCCTTAAAGTTACATTATGTAACGTTTTTGGCAGGGGCCCATCACCTTCTTGTTTCTATGGATATGTCCTTGCTCTACTTTGAATCTTCCACAATATGGCATTAAACAGATCTACCTTACATTTATTCAGTTACATGTGGTTTTAAAGCTCAAAAATAACGAGAAAAAACAGCCATTCTGACTGACTTTGTTTTAATATCATACTGTGAAACATTCCAGACAGAGCAATAACATCTCCATGGAGAAAAGCATTTGACAGACCTTCTACCAGATAAGTTATGCAATGCACCTTTAAAAGGGACTATATCAGAACTGAAACAAGTCTGTAATATGGCCATACAATCTAAGACTAAGACTAGCTCAGACCAGGACCAAACTGGGCTTTAACCATGATGAGATGAGAACTAAACCAAGACTAATGCACTTAACCCACTGATTATACAAATCTACAAATCTGTTTGTACTTTTCCAGGAAACTTCTGGAAGGGGAGGAGATTCGCCTGGCTTATCCACCTCTCCCTGTTCTCAACTAAACACAAATCATCTACCATCATGACCCCCCATCCCCCTTTTCTCTCTCTTTCTCTCTTTCTCTCTACCCCTCTATTTCTCTCTTTTCTTACATTCTTACAACATCAACAACTCAACACCAAGACACCTGCGCCCTTGAGCTATAGCTACAAGAGGTCCAATAGAAGTCCCCCTTCTTCTACACACATTTGACACCAAGAAAGAAATTGACCTACAAAGAGTGGATGCCGCACTGCATTAGTTACAAAACAGCTCTTTGGGACAGAGATATTGTTTTGACTGAGTTCCTAAAGTTAAAATACCCAAGTATCAAAAGTTATTTATCAAAATCCTCACTGTGCAAACATTTGACCAACTGTTTGTAAAGAAGGACAAAACTATTTCTAACTTTTGATGGTTGGACTTGGAGCTCATCAAATCGATAAACATTGTCCTGCGTTATAGTTATTATTAATGATCAGTGAACCAGTAACCTTAAAAATTTACTTTCAGAAACTTAAATTTTAGTGATGTTTTGGTTTTTCCTCCATTGCATTTACAACTGGTCTCTGGTTGATATTCCATATACTAATACTGTAGATTCAGACATATTAACCTGGTATTCAAACTCATATTTTCTCTGATAGTTCTTGTTTGTGTAATTGCAATGGAGGTCTTTTGTTACTGGTTTCTTCTTATAATGTCCTCTGTTTAAATTAGTTGCTAAAACAATGAAACAATAACTGCAGGAGCTCCTTGTTGTTTGTTAAATTAATTCTTAACATCTGTGAAACTAACACAAACTACTGTGTCAATGTAAGAGCCAACAACAAGCTGAATAAATTTAAGTTACCTGCAAAACAGGCATGTTGAGTCTTTCTTGTTTAAACTATTAGTGGTCACATGATGTTGAATTGTAGAGGAGGATGAAGAGACGGGATCTGACAAGAACAAATATAAAGAGGATTCATTACCTTTTTTCTGATTAGCAAATAGTCCCAAACTTTGATATTATCTTACCTGGCAAAACCAGAATGACGTCTGTATTTTTATTGATACTTTGCAGTGACATCTCACTGGAGATGTTCTACATGTATGTGTATGATGGAATGTTCTTCAGTTCCTATGGTGAAACAATGCACACACGCTGTCAAAAAAGATTTATAATAGTCTGGAAACACAATAAAAATACAAAATGGATTAAACAACCTGTTTTCAGGAACCCGTGACAAGTACAAGTGTTCATGGTCCTGTTTAGAGGTTTGATTTTCAACGAAAGTGAGAGTGACTAACTGAAAAACTGTTGATTTAAGTGTTTTAGACTTATTTAACATCTTAAATAATCTCACTTGTTGTCGTCGGAGCTAAGTCACTTCTTTCTGGTCAAAATATGTTAAAACAAATCTCACATTAAAGTCTAGCTTGAATAACAGAGCTTCAGACAGAGCAGTGTCTATAGTTAGCATCACACCCCCAGGGAACGTTGATGACATCAGCTGCAAAGAGTCAATACACATGGGTGAAGTATTGAACAAGTGTGTACTCGGGATCCCAGGCATGATATTGGCCATAGTAGCAATACAGAGTGAAGGATACCTGGAGTGGTGTAGAGTAGATCAGATGGCCCTGGAGAGAATCCACAAGACCATACTGACCTAAAGTAAGTTTTCTATAAAACAACTACAATCTGTTTTCCTATCTTGCTCTTTTCCCCAAGTTTCTAGAACTAAGGTTACACACGTAACCTTAAACAGTAATTAAACATCTCATAAATACACTTTATATTCAAAACAATACTTGTTGCAGCGCATTCATTTCAATTCAAGTCACGTTTATTGCAAATCCACGCTTTTTCTCGCCAAAACATGGGTCATACGTTACGTACACCGCGCTGTCGTCACTTCCGCAAAAACAACATGGCGGCGGCCTTCAGGAGTGTGGTCCGCGTTGTCACAAGGATCAGGTGAGAATTAAACCGTGTTTTTCGTACTTGTTTTATCTGACATTCACACACAGTTCACGATTAGAGTCATATGAGATTTGCCGAGTGTTGAGTATGAGTTAAAATAATCGGACTCTATACGTAAGGCCATTGTGAAGAAGTGAATGAGATTGAAGGAGATTTAGTCACTCTGGTCACTCTACAGGGCCTGACATTTGTCCTTTGTTATTTACATCTATTGTAAATTTAGTTGTATCTCAAACAAAGCTGTCAGGATAACTGTCGCGTGGATGACATGACAGGTTAAGGTACGGTATGAATGGGACACGTGGAAAGAGAGAGAGAGAGAGAGAGAGAGAGAGAGAGATATCGCACCACTTCTTCCGCCAATCAGGACAGAGATAGTGTTCTAATGGGTACATCAGCTCACAGGGGCTGGCACGATTACAAACACTTGTTACGACCCTTGGCATAGATACATGAACGGGCAGACTTGGCCGTGAAGTGGATTGGGCAAGAGATCAGTGACAGCCCTTTTAATAAGGACGGACATCACGCCAAGCCTTATAAGACAATGTGGAGGAGAAGGAGAGGAGTCAGAGACTACAGCAGAGGCCCGACAGAAAGATCATCTGAAACGCGAAATACATCGTCATGAGATATCGGGAGGAGAAACAGGCCAAGTAAGAAGATTTTCTGTCCCTAAAAGGAGGTGATGATATATTTAGAGAAAAGCACGGAGGAGGAGAGGAGCAAAAACTGACCGCAGCCCTGAAGAAGTTGGAGGAGCACAAGAGGATGTCTTACTATTAATGCATGTATTTAGGAGGCATAAAAACTGAAGAAAAAAAAATTATGAAGAGTGCAACACTCCGATCATGGATCATGATGATGTTCATGAAGAAAGAAAATGCTCTATTAGAACTAAGACTGTCCATAGCATTGGAGGTGTTGGAGGAGCAGAAGCTGAAACAGAAGGTCTAATCTCTAAAACAAGCCAGGAAACATACAGCAAACAACTGATTTTATTTATTATTATTTCATTCATAAAATACAAAAAGAAATAAACAGTGTAATAAAGTTAAACATAAAATACATGAATGAAAGTGGACAAAAAGAAGAGCAATCTCATCTGCTCCGTTTTCCAGACAATATTTAACACTGAGTGACTTTAAAATATTTCACAACACAGTGAGATGTGTAATCCTTTATTTGTCCAGGAGTGAAGGTAGAAGGTCATGACCACCGATGAAACCTTCTCATCATTGGTGGTCATGACGTTCTCTTCATTGCATCACTCCTTAGGAAACACATTTAAGTCATATTAATTCTCTGCAAATGGATATCTGCCCTTTTATCCGCAACAAGTTAGTTTTTCTTGAAATCTACCTGAATAACCTGAATACTTACTTAAAGGTACAGTATACTGGAGGTGACACATTTCCGTGGATATAGATTGTTAAAACCATTTAAAAACATTTTCCATGGAGATAGAGAGATTTAATGCCATACTGTGGAATATTATAACCGAAGGAAGGACCAAGAGGTTGAGACCCAAGTAAGAGTCAAGTTTGTGGAGATGCAAGCCTGATCACAGTAAGGACACATGTTTTTGGAAGTTTTTCAGTTTGATAAAAATAACCAAAATGAAAATTTGGTGATTTGGTCTTTTTTTTTTTTTTTTTTTTTTTTTGGACTAAATGTTACACGCTTTAATGTGGAAATTTTAAATACAATACCATTATTGTTCTTAATGCTTTGATTTCTTTGTCAAGATTATTCCCTAAATTAAGCTTTGTAGTTCAATCCATTTTCTTGGTTCTGAATCATTTTTGAAAAAATATGCCTGTTCCTTTTAGATTGTAGATAGTAACCTGTCCTTATCTCAAAAAGTCTTTGAATGTTTGCTGATGTTTGCTTTGAGGATACATAAAACAATGATGTCCTTAATTTCCAAAGCTTTAAATTTGACAAATATTGGGTTAAAATTTCTTTCTATAATGACTGTTAGTGATAATTCTCAAGGCCATTGTTTGCCAAATAAATAATAGCTCTTGGTTTTACATGTTGACCCCCGAATTTCCACGCAGGAGTACAGTACATCATGGAACAAGGACTGAGTATAATGTTAATATAGCAGTGCTATTTAGAGCGAGCAAAGTTAACTTTATACAACACAATTTTGCCTTTAGTTTAATTTATATGAGCCCTCTAGTTTAGATCTTCATCAATCATGACTTCTAAATATTTAGTTTCTTTTTCTCTTTGAGTCTGTACTCCATCTATTTCTGATGTTATGTCGTCATCCAAGAAGACAAATCCGATTTTTGAGACATCGGAAGACATCGGAATTGAAGCTCAGGACTAAGATTGAAACACTGTGCCTCTTCAGAAAGAGTTAAAGGTGCAGTGCCTCAAATACTTAAAGGAGGTACAGAACCTCAAGGACTACTGCAAACATTCTATGGAGGAGGCTTGGATGATTTCACATAAAAACATGGAGGAGCAGATGAGTCACATTAAGATGAAAGACGTCATCAGAGAGCTCACTAAGGAGGTGAAGAGGCTGAACAAACAGAGACAGAAACCACAGAAGCAAAACTACAGATAAGACTGCTGAGGCCAAAAGAGCAGGTGGTGCATAGCCTTCAAACTGAGAGAAGAGAGGGTAATAGAAGACAGCCTAAAACTGTCTTTAGACCCAACCAGCCTCAACAGATTCAGACCATCGCAAGCAAAAGACCAAGAGAACAGAGGTCTTCAAATGAAGACCAAATGAAAAAAATGTCAGACCTAACCAGCCTGACCACCATGTCAAAACTATAAAAAGACCAGGCAAGGTGTTAGAAGAGAAAAACAAAATTGTTCTCTGGACCAAATCAGGCACCACCACCTTCCCTCCTAGCTCTGAATTCCTTACTCCAAATTGTGGGAGGGAAAAAACTTAAAAAAAAAATTTGTGCAACAACTGCTTTTGAATTAAACTGTTATTCAACTTGTTGGTTCTGCATTTCTTTATAAAGGAGACTAAAATCTTTTTTTTCTTTACAGAGCGCCCTCTTCATTCAAAATACAGCAATGCAGCCTCAGCACAGGTATTTATTATTAGTATTAGTATTATAATATCTATATACATTAACCTCAGTCTGTAACGTACATATTTGGTTATGGGTTTCATTACTTAAATCATTTTTAAAACTATCACCTAAATCCTCACAGCACAGACATGTTTAGACGTTTGTAATGAACCCTTATTTTCAGTTCGAGGGCTGTGGAGGCGCCCCTTCAGGCCTTTACCGCTGCTGGTGGTCACTGGAGGAGGTTACTATGGTTACCAGCACTACAAGGGTAAACAGGAAGTAGAGGGAGCACCCCCTGTTTTGGCCACGCCCACTCAGGTAAATTCACCTGTCTTTGTAGAAGGTAGACTTGGAAGAAAATCTGAATGTGTTACAGAGATGCACATTCTAATGCATCTAATACAGTAAAGTAAGTGTTTTTTGACATAAAAATGAAGGCTATAATCACTGAGTCTAAATTGAGGAATATTTAAAAATGACAGGACAAAACATTGCAGAAGACAGTCTATATTGGGCAGATAAACCGACCAAAAAAATCTCCAATACCATTATGCTGGTTATACTTATTTTATCGTTACCTTTTTCCTAGAATTCACTGTATATTTATTGTTTAATGAGGTGTTGAAAATACCAGTGATATATTAATCTCATTCAGAAACATACTAATATGATATAAATTAAAGAATTGTATGGCTTAAAACATCCAGATTTTCTTCCATAGTCATGTTGCATTCACACATAATTAAAATATTCCCTTTTCTGGTTGTCTCTCACTGAAAAAATTGTATTGAAATAAACAAAACAAAAATTACACAAATACCATGATCCATTAAACCCCTGTTGAGAAATTATTACAGTCACTCTTTCCTTCTTGTATCGAACAGCATTATTGACCCACATTGCATTTCTGCCAGTCAGCACAGAGATTTAGTAGCTTTTTTTAGCAACTGTTTGTTTTCATGTGGTGACAAAGCTCTGACCTATATTCTACCTGACCACTTGTGGCAGTGTTGCACAAGGTCTATTAACAGCCCAGGAAAGACTTTCAGTGGGTAATTGGATGCATCTCCGATGTGTTTAAGTTTTCAAACACTCCCTTCTTCATTCTTCCCTCTGTTTTGAATTTTGGTCTGTCTATTAGCATTGTAATATCTCAATATATCTCAGTAATAGTGTTTATCAATACTTAATCTTCTGTATATATTAAAATTATTTATAAGCCTCTAAAGACAGTTATGGTTGTAGGGAACATTTCAGAATCCCTACACATAAAACAGAGAATCTTAATTTAACAATAAATTCTTACAACTCTTACTTTACTTCAGTGAGGTACTTTGGCCTTCATTGTAATATTAACAAAAAAAACAAAACTTGGTCATGCTTTTTCAGTTACTTGCAATGAAAACACTCTAAACACTACTAAAAACTATGTATAGAACAATAATTAAATAATATGAAGACTTATTATCTTGCTAAATCTAGGCTGGAGTGGCTGTTTAGTGAATGAGGCCACTGTGGAGAGTGATCTGCTGAAAGGTGTTTAGTCTAATCCTAATCCAGCTCTGGCTCTGGACTCTGTGCACTCAGCTGCGTGGAACCAGGATGCTTTTAAACGCTCTGGACCAAACCAGGACCAAAAACTGTAAAACTACCTCAAATTGGACTGTTATTTTTGGTAACTGCACTGTTCACGGAAATTCGGTGTCCTTGGGAGTTCATTGGACAAATTTGGATTATCTTGATGACATTACTGAGTGTGGAACAGACTACTTTTTAGGTGATTTTGTTTGTGGCATGATGTTGAGAACTTAAATCTGGTTTTGAAAGGTCTAGTAATATCCTAAATATTTGAATGGTTTATTGTATAGTTGATTATACTGGGTTAAAGCCAGAAGTTAGAATTGTACTGAGGTGTATTCATCTTATTTGAAACTGCTGTTATTTTGACAGTTCTTGCTGTTTTTAAACTACTTCGGACAGTTCTTTCTCATCTTTTTAATGCATATTTTGGACTGTATCTCCAGTGTGTTGCAACTCATTGTTTTGGATGAGGTCTTGAAACTAGTTCACAGTGGGATTACAATTCTACCGCTTCATACAAAGAGGCTGTAATGACAAATGAGGATTAGCCCTGTGCATACCAAATGGAAATGTGGACAGACTCCGGACTGCAGCTGAAATATCGCGTTATTTCTGAAAGTGATTTAAGTATGCTCAATGAACATTTAAGCTTAAACTGTAATCAAATGAGTGTAGGACAGTTAGTAATGTTATATATGTTATATATATGAAGAGATGGTGAAGTTTTGGTGTAACCGCGGTGATGAGAGGAGGAATCGTGGTGTGTTGAGACGCATTCAAAAAACAGCGATCAATGACTACAGGAAAATCGCACCAAAAATTGTCATCAACACAGACACGAGGCGAGATAATGGTATGACAACAACAGCGCACAACACTGAGGAAAATAAAGGGACAAAATCAACCCAAGGAACTCGAGTCCGCTTCAGGTGAAATTCAGCACAATATAACTATACAGCATATACTTTCTGTGATGTTGGTAGCTTTTATTAGTCAAATGCATTAGTATTTGTTTGTAAAAGTGCACAATATTGAAAAACATATAAAGCTTGCTATTTTTTGCTTTACAAATCACTTTTTACACCATAATCGGATGATATTTTTTGCAGTCCTTTAGAATATGCTAAAACTTGCCTATATATTTTTTTGCTTTAGGTACAAATATTGCTTTAAAATTGGCTATAAAATTTAACATAAACGAAGAAAGCTTAAATTTGAGATTTTCAGATTTTTTTTTCTTACTGCTTTTTTTTTTTTTGACAACTACCAAAACCTTAACTGTTAGGTTACTGTTATGATCTTGTATGTGATGTAGGCAATAGTGTTGGTAGCTACTGTAAGTCCATCACATTAGTAATATTAGTAAAATTGAATCAGCTTTATTAGTGAGCAGCTTATGATCTATATTTTAGGCTGGTTCCACAGGTGACTTTGAAGCGCCGTTTGAACTCGCTTGGTAGAAGCTCCGCCCCCTGGCGCCGTCGGCCAATGGCGTTCCTCTACTGCACACTGACCACCAGAGCTTTGCGACCGCTGGCCAATCGGGTAACACCTGCTAGACGTGTTTGTGTCCCAAGGAGTAACAACAGTGCCCTCTCATCTCTGATTTCTGAAGGAAATTTTCCAGTCATCTTACCCATAAACTTTTTATTTTGTTAGTCTGAAAACTGTTTATAATACAGTTGCCAGTTAGCTACCGGATAGGGACTAAAACACGATTATATTTATGGGTATGTCTGCTTCCTGTTATATACATCATTTTGAGGACTTTTTCTCATTGAAAAGTTTATTAAGAATTTATTTATTTTATTTAGTTTTAAATTGTTCTGAAACACTGAAATAGATAGGGATCAAATTGAAATCTCAGTTTGAGTTGGCACAGTCATCAAATGCAAAAGATGTAATTATTTAAATAATAGAATTCTAATTTTAAAACATGTATACAGTTGATTTTTATTCTAAAATTATGCAGTCCTGGATTTATATTCATTTTCAAAAATATCTTGAAAGTGCAGCAAAATGCATTTATGAATCTGCAGTTTATAATGGGTTTTATGGATGATTTGATCAAAATATATTTTTGGTCAGAAGTTGCCCCATAGATCTTAAGGGTCAAGTAAAAGAACAAAACATCAAGAACGTTAAAGGAGCATTGTGTAAGTGTTCTGGTGGAGGGTCTGTCAAATGCTTTTCTCCATGGAGATGTCATTGCTTTGTTTGGAATGTTTCACAGTATGGTATAAACCTTTCTATCTTTGTGGAGACCAAACCAGAACAAGTTAGAGGTCAGATCTGTGAAGAAGCAACTCACCATCAGAATGTCTGTTTTTGTTATTTAGCTATTTTTGAACTATAAAACCACCTGTAATTGAATAAATGTAAGTTAGAGCTGTTTAATGTCATACTGTGGAACATTCCAGGCAGAGCAATGGTATATCCATAGAAACAAGCAGGTAACAGACCCCAAACCAAAAAGTTACATAGTGCAGCTTTAAAAAATGAGTTTGAATTTTACTTCTGAAACCATAAGCACCCCTTATTCTTGAGCTCCATAGGTCTAAGTGGACTATGTGTTTAGAGGCCCAGACCTACTACAGACCATAATCCAATTTCACTTCAGTGTACTTCAACTGAGGGACAACCAGATGGTCTTCTTCCCTTTTACATCTCTGTTTCTCTATTTAAAGTAAAATCTTTTTCATTCACTTTTGATTGTTATTGCTTCTTTGTCCTTCAGGTGGCACTGTACCGATCGTTTCCCACTCGGGTTATTTCTCGAGTTTGGGGTAAGATCAACGCGGTGGACTTGCCAACATTTTTACGAAAGCCGATCTATTCACTTTATATCTGGACCTTTGGAGTCAACATGCAGGTAACCAATGGCAACCAGCTACTGTCAGATTAAATTAAACTGGGATGTTTGTTAATAATTCTGTCTTGTCCATTAGGAGGCAGCAGTGGAGGACTTACATTTTTACAAGAATCTGGGAGAGTTTTTCAGGCGAAGACTTAAACCTGCTGCTAGACCTGTCTCCTCCTCCTGCCTGGTAAGCAGCTATACACTATTAATATTAATACATTTTGAAGTTATAATTATCTATAAGGATGTAATAATATCCCCAAATCTCACTGTATGGTATGATCCTAGTCATGGCAAGTTATTAGTTTTATTGTGGGGTGGCTCATGGGTTTCAGACTTCATTTATCCATCCAGTGACATTTTAAGGACTATTTACCATTCAAGAGACAATATTTTCAGTCAGATATGACAATGGTTGTCATTTAGTTGAATTTTTTTTATTACCATGTAACTTTTTTTGCCAATGATCCACTATGTGCTTGGAGCTGTTATTGCTTTGCCTGAATGTTATACAGGGTGATGCTTATTTATCTTCCATTCATTCAATTACTGTTTTTTATTGCTAAAAAGCAAGTGCTCCACTCCTTTCCATAGATCTGACCTGGTGGCGTGCTTGTGCTAATGAATAAAGGATCTGTGTCATACTGTGAAACATTCCAGGCAAAGCAATTGCATCATCATGGAGTCAAGAAAGTGGCAGACAGAATTAAGATTAGATTTTGTTTTGTTACAGGGTATATTTACAATTGTAGACCTCACTGAACACACTCACATCAAAACCTCTGAAAGTACACATACAAAATGTAGTAAACAAAAAAGTGATCGATTTTTTTTTTTTTTTTTTTTTGGTTATTTTGACTGTAATTCCAGACCTCTCCAGCAGACGGTAGAGTGCTTCACTTCGGTTCTGTGAAAAATTCAGAGGTGGAGCAGGTCAAAGGCGTCACCTACAGTTTGGAGCATTTTCTGGGGCCACACAAAGGAAACGGCCAAGGTGAGACATGCTTCTCTGAGAGTGTAAGCTCTCGACCACATTATAAAGTTGTTAGTTCACCAAAAACCCACTGGGAATTTTTATTTTTTATGTTAAGTAACTTCATTTGTGGTTTGGCACATTCATTCAGTGCATGCATAAAACCATATATTAAAAGAGACAAATATAAATATAAAGATAAAACATGGCGAGGAGGGGATATGTATTGTGCTATCCCAGATGTGACTAGATTGCTTACAACCCCAATTAAAATATCTGTGAAAAAATTATACGTTAATTTGTGATATTTAAAATGTAAACTGACTAGACCTGCCAAAGTCACTTCCTGTCTGTCCTCTGATTGACCAGGTGAAAGCTTTAGGGACCGCCTTCTCTCTCATCCAGACAATGACCTGTATCATGTGGTCATTTACCTGGCTCCAGGAGATTACCACTGTTTCCACTCTCCGGTTGACTGGACGGTGAAGCTGAGGAGACACTTCCCAGGTAACATATTTACCAAGACATCAGAAGTACCTGTGTATCACTCCCACTAAAGTTATTTTAATATTACAACAATTTTAAAGGTGTACTATGGAACTTTTTGGTTGGGAGTCAGTCACCTGCTTGTTTCTATGGAGATGTTATTGCTCTGTCTGGAATAGTCCACAGTATGACATGAAACTCTACCCTACATTTATTTAATTACAGGTGGTTTTATAGCTCAAAAATGCCTTGAAAAACAGGCATTCACACAGTGACCGGGGTTGCCTCTCCACAGATCTGACCTGTAACATGGTCTGGTTTGGTCTTCATGAAGATAGAAAGGTTTAATACCATACTGTGAAACATTTCAGACAAAGCAATAACATCTCCATGGAGAAAAGTATTTGATGGCACCTGCACCAGAAATGTGCACCTTTAAATACTTAACTAATGTTTAAAACAGCAGTTGACTCTAGTTTAGTAAAATCAAATGATGATCTAACCTATTAACAATCTGCCATTGTGATAAAATTTTGTGTGTTAGTGCTTTGCTGTTAAATGCTGCATTATTAGACTTAATGGATCCATAAGGACTTGCACATAGTAGCGCATGCATTACAATATAATAACAAAAAGCAAAAGAATCTAATAATAAATGTTAAATGACTAAAATGACTAAATAATTCAAGTAGTAACACATGTTGTATAAGGCACAATACAGATTTGTATATTTACAAGTATAATTTAAAAAAATAAAAACATCTAATTTCCCCACCCACTCTTCCTATTGGTCATGTTCAGTCTGAGTGACAGGCAGATTTATCCAGTCACATTGAAGTGTGAACTCTCAGATGAAGCATGTTCCTTTAGCTTACCTTCAAAATAAAATAAAAGTACACCGGTGCTCTACTGAGGCTCTACCTTTCCCAACAAACATTTATTTACAGTGTTTTTATATTGTAGGTTCCCTGATGTCTGTGAGTCCTGGAGTGGCTCATTGGGTTAAAGAACTCTTCTGTTTAAACGAACGTGTGGCTCTGACTGGCCAGTGGAAACACGGCTTCTTCTCTCTCACCGCTGTCGGGGCAACCAACGTGGGCTCAATACGCATCTACTTTGACCAGGTACAAAACCACAAATGTAAACAATATAATTCCCTTTACAATTCAGTGTCCTTTATGCAACAACATATGACTATCTCCACCTTCTATAATAATTTCTACAACAAGTTTTATCAACAAAGGCTGAATGATTTTAGAATTATTATTTGATTAACATTTAAAAGCAGACTTAATTTTGAACTGCTAAACTACTAAAAGAATATGATGCATTTCAAAATATGTTTAAATAAGGTGTGAATTACAGGGTACATGAGATCCAGGAAACATGGATACTTACTGTGAGTGGGCTCGCGTGTCCACAGATCTGATCTATAACTTTTCCTGGTGACATCATCTGCTTGTTTCAATGGAACTAGGTCATTTTAATGCCTTACTGTGGAACATTACAGCCAAGCAGTAACCTTTCCATCGAGACAAGCAGGTGCCAGAACATCCACCAGAAAAATTACATAGTGCACTTTAATCTTGCAGCTGTATTGTCAAGATTCATTTATATAATATTTTCTTCTTCTCCCCTTTAGGAACTCCAAACAAACACCCCTAAATACAGAAAAGGCTCCTGCCATGAACGTAGTTACCAGGGAGAAGAGTCTTCTGCAGATGGAGTGACGTTACAGAAAGGGGCACCCCTGGGAGAGTTTAACCTGGGATCCACAGTTGTTTTAGTTTTCGAAGCTCCGAAAGACTTCAACTTCGATTTGAAAGCAGGACAGAAAATCAGAGTGGGAGAGGGGCTAGGTCTCCTCTCCTAAAACATACAGTGCTTTCAAGTGCGGGTGGGTTTTGGAGATTTTGGAGTTTTGGACATGAACACAGCCACTGAAGATGTTTGCCAAAACTGGATAAATGGGTTATTAAAGCAGCTTTGTGTTGGGATCACTTAAAATGTATTTACATTTTACAACTTAATAATGTAACTTATTACATTTACATACTTTTACATATTTCTGTTTAAAGGTGCATTGTGTAACTTTTTGGTTGGGGTCCATTATGGATATCTATGGATATGTCATTGCTCTGCCTGGAATGTCCCACAGTATGACATTAAACAACTCTTCTTTACATTTATTCAAGTACAGGTGGTTTTATAGTTCAAAAATAGCTAGAAAAACAGACATTCTGTCTGTGAGCAGGGTTGCCTCTCCACAGATCTGACCTGGTTTGGTCTCCATGAAGATAGAAAGGTTTAATGCCATACTGTGAAACATTTCAGCTAAAGCAATAGCATCTCCATGAAGAAAAGCACCAGAGAAGTTACACAATGCCCCTTTGAAAACATTAGCCACAAATGTATAAGGGCATTTAAGTAGTGCACTGCAAACTGCACTGTAAAACATCAAATTTTGGGCACAAAGTGGAATGACTTTGTATGTGTGGGAAGCTTGGTTTGTTTACCAGGGCAGCTAAAGGATCAAATACATGGCCTTTTTCCTATGCCAGAGCCAGTTTTAGTGCACAATACATGTGAATGTCATAGTATTAAATTAAGTGGTTCTCAACACAGGTACCACTTCAAATGTATGGCCTCTTTGTATTATATGCAGTTCAACACCCGGTTTAGCTTAATTAGTCACTACTTAGTCCTAGTGTGGACTGGTTTACACAGATTTGTTTTGCTCTATACGCTTAAATATGAGGCCATATATTGTCCCTAAGGGGTTGACTGGGTTTAACTTATTCATATTAGTTTATTAATGGCTGTACAAAGAAAAACTTATGCTTTTTGAAGTGGTACTTGGCCTAACTCAACCAAAAGTCTACTAGCTTATCCACTATCTATCATCATGTTACAACAGTCACTGTATGACTGCTACCACTAACAGCTTTTGAAGTTGCCTGTAATAATGTACATGGTATGAATGGCTATTAGTGCTATTACTGCTTATAACCTCTCCTGCTGCCTTTATTGCACTAAAATACATATTTTGTATTGTTTCTAAAAAGTGTTTTTCTTATGACCTTTATTATCAGCTGTGTCTAAAAACTAAATCTATATATAAACCTCCTGATTATGTTTGTAAATGGTTCTAAAACTATTGGCAATGGTAAAATGACTAAATATTTCTTTCCTTCCTTATATTTTCCATGTTGTAAATTATTTAACTTTTTCTTAAACCCATATAGGGTTTTGTAATTTTTCTGTTAATGAAAATCCTGCCCTGATACTAATCCAGATTGATTTATAAATCCATCCATTTTGTTAATATTTTGTATGATTGTAATCATAATAAAAATATTTTTATATTCATTCTTTTTTTTTCTGTTGTCTTCATATGTTTTATTAAAAAGTACAATTTTTCACATTAATACACAATGATGGTACATCCCCCGTAGTCTAAAAACAACCTGGACTTTATACATTACTGTCATAACAAAATAAGACTTGTTCATTGTATTAACAAAAACCTATAATAGTCAAGAATGACTTAAAATGATAAAATTAATGCTTAAAAATGTAAAAAAAAAAAAAGTTTAAAAAAAGTATAGGCAATATGAGATATTTATACACCACAAATTGAATTTGATTAAATTATTATGATTATGATAGTTATTGTATTTAAATTTTTCTGTTGCGTGTGAAGCAGCATTTCAAATGTATGAAACAACAATAACAAATAAAGTTTGATTGATTGATTATGATACAAAATAATTAATTTGTGCTGCCATAATCTTAACAAAATCTATTTTCAGACAGTTATAAAACATTATTTATTTCGTATTTTATTTAATTTGTATTATTATTATAAAAAAAAAAAAAAAAATATATATATATATATATATTATATTATATATATATATATATATATATATATATATATATATATATATATATATATATTTTTTTTTTTTTATTCAATTATTTAATTTTATTTTAGGCACGCTTATAGGTCACGTGTTCTTCCGGCGGTCGGAGTTCATCAATATGGCGGCTGTCAGCCGATAGCACTTATGTCATTTTGCCATGCTTTAGATCAAATTTGACTTTATTAATCTGACTCACCGCTTTATTCGTGACCACATTTCAAAGGGGAGATGTTTCAAGCCATAGGCGGCAGGAGCCTCCAGGCAGCCCGGCTCTGCGCCCGGAAAAGAGCCGTTCTTGTGGAGACGGTCCGCGGCAGAAAGACTCGCAACGACCCGATAGCCAAGTCCAAAGAGGCACGAATCAAAACCCCTCCGCCCGTGGACCCGGTGGAGATGGTGGTCCTGAAAGAGAGATACTCCGAGTACCAACAGATTCTAAGTGCCCTTCGGTGAGTTAATAGCTTGTTATAATCTACAAAAATAAGACACATTAAATGAAGTCCTCATATTCCCATGCCCTTGTCATTTGGGTTCATCTTTGTGTTGTGTTACATCCTGCTTACTGTGTTTGACCCATGGACTGATTTGACTGATTTTATTCTTGAATACTTTTGTCAACGTAAAAATTTTATGTATCTGAAGACATTTCTGAATAATTTAACGTTAAATGGCATGTAACTCTAGTAAGTAGCTTTGCATTGGAGCTCTCGACGTTTAGAGTTGTTGACTATCCATTATTATTCCAATTAATCGCCGCAGCCCTACTCCAAAGTCAACTTAGAGTAGCGAACTTGTCATGCAAATGCAATGTCAGTAAAGAAAATAATCGATTTAAGCAGTGCTTGAGACGTCCAGGGATAAGTGATCACCCATTTGAATCAACCAATTTTCAGGCTGTATTATGCCAGTATGTTGGTACCGTTGCTATCTATTTAGAGGAGCTTTTGATGTTTAACTTTTGTCAATATAATTCACTGTTTTTATCTTTCATGTGTTATTTGCTTGTTGCTCTTTTGATGGTTACAATATAACGTTATGTTCTGTAAAGTGTCTTTGAGTACTCTGGAAAGCACTATATAAATAAAAGGTATTATTATTATTGTTATTATTGTTATTGTTATTATTAATATGGACAATATTAACTGAATTATCTCTTGATAGTATGGAATTCAAAGAGGAGGTGTTGAGGAAGAAGTATGAAGCTGAGACTGGAACTTTGGCTGAGGAGCGAGCACGGAAAGAGGCAGAGGAGCACCGTGCCCTGATGGACTGGAACAGAGAGGAAAACCAGCGCATGCTACAACTCAGGTCTGAGTTAACTGATGTTGTTAATGGGATTGTTATGTTATTTATGCTAAAAAGATGCCAAATTTTGTGCCAGTTTGAACCTTGTGGATAAGATCAGTAAATATGAAGATGATAATAACAACGATAAATCAGTTTAATACATCTGTAATCCAGTGGTGGGACGCAACAAATTAAAGTAAAGTACCGTACTTAAGTATAAATTTTAAGTGGAAGATCTTTTTTAAGATTAGCTTCTACATATGATGTAAAAAGCCTGTATCATCTCAATGTCCATAGCTAGCTTCTTAGCTAGCCTTTTGCACGGTCTCTATGGATATGAGAAAAAACTGTGGTTAATTTCGCACAATCCAATGAGTTCCTTGTGTTAATTCTCTCAAAATATTTCCTCTGAAGGGTTCTGTCACATTTGCTGTCGCATATGGTGTAAAAAACCTTTAGCAACTCAAATGTCTATAGCTACCTCCTTAGCTCTTTTGTGAGCCTCTTGTGCGGTCTCCATGGATACTGGAAAAAACAAACAGCTCCTTTCACAAAATCCAACAGTCTCTCATATGTGTGCTTTGAACTGTACATGCTGCACTTCTTAATTGGTTAAAATCCCATGATAGAATGTTAAATGACATGTTTAAAAAACTGCTCAGTGTGTGAGCCAGGTAACCACAGAAGCAGCCAAACACTCAGCTGCCATGACATATTGAGTACTGTACTTCATCTAACACTTAATCTGACAGCAAATGCTGCAGAACCACTGAATTCAGATGTTATGTGTTAATTTTAGCGCATATATTTAGTCAAATGCACAATTATAATTCATTGTTTTTGTTTTCAGGCTGCAGAGGGTTCAAATCGAGAAAGAGGAAGCGGAACGAAAACAGCTTGAAGCTGCTCTTGAACGGGAACAAAAACAGCAGGAATTTATCAAAATGAAGGAAGAGGAACTTTTACGCTTACAGGTAAAAAAGACCTTCTAATCACCATATTAATTGCATACCATGTATTTGACATTTTAAATAAATAATTGTATTTTACTGTGTAGGAAGAGGCAAAACACTTCATCACAATGGAGAATTTGGATCAGCGAATTGAAGAAGCATTGGACAATCCCAAGAATTATAATTTTGCCATTGACAAAGAAGGACGGATTACTAAACAGACTGTGCTCAAGTGAAACCAATGGGTGTTTGTCATGGGGTTTTCAGTATCAGTTCAGTTCATTATTTTGACATGAACAATTTGTCCTCAGAGTCACCCACAAAAAAGGTAATTGGTTTAAAATGGTTCCTTCCATATGGTTACAGTATTTGCTTTAAAACATCCACATTTTTCAGAGGTCTCAAACTTGTCCAAACCTGTTTGTCCATCAACACACTTTTCCTGTGAGCTGTGCATCTTATGTATTTTGCTTTTATCATGGTTATATTTTGTAAATATATGTGATCATAATGACTAAATAGCTTTTCCATTGTGACTCGTTGTCATTTTTTACTCTTTATTTAAGTAGCCTACTCAATTGTTTATTATTTTATTTGGTTTTATTTAAGTATTATTAAATGAGCACTAACTAACTGTTACTACTTCTTCTGCTGCTGCTACTGCTACTACTACTACTATTACTACTAACACTATTACTACTGCTACTCGTGAAGCAGTAAGTTACTTATGGTTTTGAAATATATTTTTACCTCCGCCAAGGAGGTTATGTTTTTGCCGGTGTTTGTCTGTTTGTTTGTTTTTTTGTCTGTTAGCAACATAACTCAAAAAGTTATGGACCAATTTTGATGAAATTTTCAGGATTTGTTGGAAATGTGAAAAGGATGAACTGATTTCATTTTGGGGGTGATTCGGAAGAAATCCTGGATTCTGGATCACTTTGAAATTTTAGTTAACATTGTGGTAAATGGGGCCAAAAAAATTTGTTTCTCAATATCTCGGTTAATTATTGACCAAACCCCATGAAATTTGACTCAGGGATGGACAATGGGATCCTCTTTCATATTCCAAAGGCTGATCCGGATCTGATCCAGAAGACTGATTTAATCGCAATTTATATAAAAAATGGGGGTAGTTCTTGGCGGAGGTCTGCGCTCTCTGAGTGCTTTTCTAGTTTATAAATAAATAATCAATAGTTGCCAAATATTTAAATGTCTATTTGTATTTAAAACTACAGTAGTATTTGTCACACAAAGTTCAAACCATGAAGGAACCATCATGTAATGAAGCATTTTGCATAGAACATTTCATCTATCCTTGTAGTGTGAGCTCTTTGTCTGTAGCGGGCGCAGTTCTCCCTCTGAGTCGGGTTTAGCGCATAGACTGTACACAGTCCAGCATGAGCAGGTGAAGATGTGGCTCATGTGTGACAACGTGCAGGTGTAATCCTCTTCATAGTGGCGCTGATGAGATAAAGATGATCAGGTTTAAAGACTTCAACAAACCAGACTAGGCTCAAAGAAGAAGGCTCACGAGTCTGCTACACACTCCACTAAATATAGGCCTGCTATAGAAAACTTCATCTATTCTATACAGAAAAATACGATAAATGTTTTAAATATATATAATAGCCCAGTCATAACAATCCAAGTTAACTTAAAACAAAGAAAAAATACAACAAGGGTAGTTGAGATCATTTTATTTTGTGAAGAATGTTACATCTGTTTTATATCATAACTGTATTTTAAATTGGTAGTTTTTCTAGACCATGAAACTTTATAAAACAAAAATAACTCTACAGCGGCTTCAAATTGACTTCAGAGCACCTTCATTTCAAATAAATACATACACAATTTATCAGTGGAGGAAAAATCACTAGAAATCAGATATTACAAAAACTGAACTGACAATTGTAAAACTCCATTGAGCAGTACTCTCATTCAAAACAACATGATAACAAAAAATTACTAATACTTTTGTTTTTTCTGTGTAAACATCTGACATTTTAAAGCCTTGATGAAACATTCAAACTCATGTACAGACTATTCACTAAAATCCTGTTGGAGACATTTTCATGGGTTTCTCCTTTCTGTGTATATAGGCACCATTTTGAGAGCTTTCCATCATTTTAATTGTCATTTGCTACAACAACAACAATGTTTTTTTAATCACACTGAAACCCGTGAATTGACTTAATAGCACTTGAATATTCAAGTATAAAAATCTTACAAAATTCACCTTCTGCTGAGTTACTAAAACTAATGTTATTTCTGATTATGAAATCTGGTTGTTGGTCTGACCAGGGTATTTCTCAAACTTCTTCTCTGCTTCTTCACTGAAGGCATCACCTGAAAGCCAAAAAGAAAATGAATATTCACAAAAACACAATACTGATTCTTTGCAGTGACATTACGCTGGGGTAGATAGTCAGATAAGTTCAGGTAAGTCTGCAAACTCAAAAAGAAACACTAAATGGATTTAAACAACACATTTTCAGGAGCCTGTGATCAATACGTGTGTTCATGGTCCCGTTTAGGTGTCTGATTTTCAACAAAAAGATGAGAGGGACTATCTGAAAAACTGTTATCTAATGCTAGCTAGTTTGTGACTAATGTTATTTGCAATGCTCTTGTTCAACAGCACAAATCAG